CAACCTCCAACTCCTGGGCTTAGGCGATTCTCTTGCCTCAGCCTCCTGAGTAGCTGAGACTACAGGCACCCGCCACAATGCCTGGCTATTTTTTTTGTTGCAGTTTGGCCAGGGCCGGGTTTGAACCTGCCACCCTTGGTATATGGGATCAGTGCCCTACCCACTGAGCAACAGGTGCTGCCCCAGTACATGCAATTTTTGATAGTCTCTATTTCTTGTCTCACAAGCCAAAAGAACAAAGTTTGCATTTCTGAACACAGCTGTGTGTTTTCCTTCAAAGTAACAGAAATTAGATTCCCATTTCTTTGGCTGCCTCAGTTTGGGGTCTTAGCTGTTCTTAAGAAAAACTTGCTGATTAAAACTAAATACTGGTCCCCTGGAGAATGGGTCAGACAGCGGTGGGTGTCTCATGAATACACGTGAGCCCTAGGGAGGGAGGGTTCAGCTGTGAGGAGGACCCTATGTCTGGCCACCTGCCCCATACCACCTAGTTCTGGACCTCAGTGAGGGTTCAGGCCAAGGGGCAGACACTTGCCAGCCCCTCTGCTACAGCAGCCCCAGCCCCACAGGGTGGGGAGTGAGCACTGCCTGACTTAGGGGTTGTGACCTCTCCATGTGTCTCCTGGCAGAGTGGGAACAGCTTCCACGTACTCGACCAGGGCCAGTTTGCCAAGGAGGTGCTGCCCAAGTACTTCAAGCACAGCAACATGGCCAGCTTTGTGCGGCAGCTCAACATGTGTGAGTGCCAGCCAGGGGTGTGGTGTGAACCCCAAAAGCAGGGAGCCAGGGTGGGTACTTCTTCCTTATGGGTGAGAAGCCCCTGGCTACACTGCCACATGTATTCTGAGGGAGCCACGTGGGGATGTGGGTCTCCCTTAGACCACCCAGCCCCCGTTCCTGGCACAGCTCTTCAGTTTGCCAGTAGGGTGGTGGCCCGGCTGTCATGGGAGTCTGGGCGCCAGGCCTCAGGCAGAGTCCCCCACCCCTGTTCTGTGCAGACGGCTTCCGGAAAGTGGTCCACATTGAGCAGGGTGGCCTGGTCAAGCCTGAGAGAGATGACACTGAATTCCAGCACCCTTGTTTCCTGCGTGGCCAGGAGCAGCTCCTCGAGAACATCAAAAGGAAAGTGACCAGTGTAAGTTGCCTGCCTCTGCCTGGTATCCCCGGCCCCATCCTCGGACCTCCCTGCAGCTATCCTGGCCCCACCGAGCCCCACTACCCTGCAGCCCTTCATGGCTCTTCCTGCTTTGTCCAGGCCCTGCCCTCTCTTTGGCCAGCCTGTACCATGGGAGCTGCCAAACTCTGGGCCACTTCAGTGACTCTTATTCCCCTGGGGACCCAGGTGTCCACCCTGAAGAACGAGGACATAAAGATCCGCCAGGACAGCGTCGCCAAGCTGCTGACAGATGTGCAGCTGATGAAGGGCCGGCAGGAGTGCATGGACTCCAAGCTCTTGACCATGAAGCAGTAAGTCTTGCACCAGGGAGAGTGGGCAGCACCCTGGCCTGGGGACCTACCATGAGGCTGTGTGTGCTGTAGGGGTTAAAGCACTGGCTTGGGCCTCAGAGCCCTTCGCCCCTTCGTGCAGAAAGAGCCTGCCCCTTCCTAGCCCTGCTGTCTCTGGCTTCTGCAGCAGCTCTTGGACCTGCCGTTGTCCAGATACATGCAGGCTGGAAAGGACTCCACCTGGCAACCACGACTCCCTGCTGACCATCCATGTTTCTTGGGAGGCTCAGCCTCTGCCCAATCCCACAAGACCTTTTGTGGCCAAACCTCCCCTCCCTCCCAATGGCTTCTGCTGCCCCTGCCATCACGCTGCACAGGGTGTCCCCATTCCCACCTACCTGCATTTCAGGCCTGGGTAGGGAGGCACTAAAGGTCTCCAAAGCATTCTTTCTGCACTTTCTGCCCTGGCATGTATCACACAACTACCTGGCCCCTCCTCATCCAAGACCGTGGGTTCTAAGGAAGCCCCTAGCAGGGGGGTCTAGCATATGGATGGCCCTTGGGGAACTGAGTCAAAGCCACCCAGGAAGGAGCCCCATGCCCAGGGTCGCTATCTTCAGCTCACCGTGGTGGATGGCTGGTGACTATAAATCGTGGAGGAGGCCAGTGGGCCAGGCTCTTCCCCATGGAGTCTAGCAGAAGCCCTGTCATCATGATTCCTGGAGACAGGCCAGGAAAGACATTTCTTTTTTTTTGAGACAGAGCCTCAAGCTGTCCCCCTGGGTAGAGTGCCATGGCTTCACTGCTCACAGCAACCTCCAAACTCTTGGGCTCAAGCGAGTTTCCTGCCTCAGCCTCCCGAGTAGCTGGGACCACAGGTGCCCACCACAACACCCGGCTATTTTTTGGTTGCAGCCATTATTGTTGTTTGGCGGGCCCGGGCTGGATTCAAACCCGCCACCTTAGGTGTATGTGGCTGGTGCCTTAGCTGCTTGAGCCACAGGCGCTGAGCCAGGAAAGACATTTCTGTCAGGGAGACACACAGGGTAGTTGGGCTCCCAGCAGAGCCTTGGGATCCACTTGCCCTGCCATAAGCCTCACCTGGGCTGGTAGGAGCCCCTGACCGTCGTACAGGAAGCAGGACACCTCCATGTGTCCCTCTACAGCCTGAGGAGCTGAGCTTAACCTAGCTCCTCCAGCCTCAGCAGAGCAGTGGTCCTAGGGTGGGAAGCACAGCTCAAGGGTCTACCACCTGCCTCTGCCCTGTCCCAGCCACCCTGCTAGGTACCTTTGTGTGCCCCTATGAAGCCAGCCTGGGAAGGGTAGCGGTGACAATGAGCCCTCACCTTCCTAGCCCCTCCATGCAGTAGTCCTTATCCAAGGTAGGCTATCCAGCTATGGTCGCTCTCCCCTGGCCCTGCCTGGGGCTCCTAGGAGCAACCCACTGACCCAGTCTGGTCTTTTGCAGCGAGAACGAGGCCTTGTGGCGGGAGGTGGCCAGCCTCCGGCAGAAGCATGCCCAGCAACAGAAAGTGGTCAACAAGGTAGGGCAGGGCTGGCAGGCTGGTGGGGACCCCCTTAGGCCTTAATGACTGTGTCCTGTCTACCCACAGCTTATTCAGTTCCTGATCTCATTGGTGCAGTCAAACCGGATCCTGGGAGTAAAGAGAAAGATGTGAGGCTCTGGGGACACCTGTACGCTCTTTACAGGGCCGGGGGGGGGGGGGTCCCTGGAGCCACCAAGGCCAAGGAAGCAGCTAACTCCTACTCTTTCCCACAGTCCGCTGATGTTGAATGACAGCAGCTCGGCACATTCAGTGCCTAAGTACGCCCGCCAATACTCCCTAGAGCATGTCCACAGCTCTGGCCCATTCACGGTGAGCAACAGGCAAGGTGGGGCTGAGGAGGGACAGCAGCCAGGGGTGGTGCAGCCAGAGCACCTGCCGCATGCAGCCCCTGCCTTTGATTGCAGGCTCCATCCCCGGCCTACAGCAGCTCCAGCCTCTACCCCCCAGAAACTGTTGCCAGCTCTGGACCCATAATCTCCGACATCACTGAGCTGGCCCCGGCCAGCCCTGTGGCCTCCCCAGGCGGGAGTGTAGATGAGAGGTGGGGGCTGTGTCATGTCCAGCCCTCTTGTTCCCCTACTAGGCGAGCCCTCTGGGCTCAGGGTAGAGTTGGGAGTGGGGTGGGGCTGGTCAGAACTCCTGCTGACGTGGCCCCACCCTGCCCTGTCCAGGCCCCTACCCAGCATTCCCCTGGTGCGTGTCAAGGAGGAGCCCCCCAGCCCACCTCAGAGCCCCCAGGTGGAGGAGGCGAGTCCTGGGCGCCCGTGTTCTGTGGACACCACTTTGTCCCCAACTGCCCTCATCGACTCCATCCTGCGGGAGAGCGAGCCCACGCCTGCCTCGGCCATGGCCCTCACAGATGCTGACACTGGGGGCCTCACAGATGCCAGGAGCCACCCCCCCTCACCCCCACCCCCTTCCACCCCTGAGAAGTGCCTCAGCGTAGCCTGCCTGGACAAGTGAGTGCTGCCCACCCACCACCCCTGGGCTCTAGCTCAGACCATCCTGGATGGCTAAGACACAGGACAGCCACCAGGCAGGAACCTCACCCTGACCCCAGGCCTTCAGGCTCAGGGGTTGCTAGAGTGAGGAGGGGCAGACCTGACCCCCAACCTTCACCTCAGGGTTTGGGATTGGGGAAGGAGATTGTTGCTACCCAGGTTACCCCACAGCCCCAAATGCCACAGGAGCCAAGGGTGTAATGGCAGGGCAGCCTAGTGTTACCTGCCCAGGTATCCTGGGAGTATCTGCTGTCTCAGCTGCCCTTGCTGTGGTTGTCACCCCTTTCTTGCAGCAGCACACAAGGTCATTGCATCTGTTATGCTGCTCAGAGTGGGTGCAGGAGATGGTGAGCAGGGCCCTGGCCTCCACCACCCCTCAGGCCCTGCCCTGGAGGCTGAGCAAGCAAAGACAGGCCCAGGGCCTGCCTAGTCCCCGCCTGCAATGGGAGCTGTTGTCTTTGTATCTTGCAGTTTGGCTCGCACTCCACAGATGTCTGGGGTCACTCGCCTCTTCCCCTGCCCCTCCTCTTCCTCTCTGCATGGCCGAGTCCAGCCAGGGTTAGCGCTGACCCCACTGGGGAGGGAGGAGGGCTCTGGCAGAGCTCGGGCCCCTCCCACAGCCACGGAGCAGACCCTAGACTGGGGATGCGCCCTGGGCCCTGCCTGGTGGACAGCATCCTTGATGGGCTAGTGGCCCAGTTCATTGTGACAGGACAGACCCCTGGCCCGGCCACTGCAGCAGGCAGGATCCAGGTTGCTGTGCTGACTTACCTCTCAGGGTGGGGATGGGAAGGGCTGCAGCATCTCCAGGAGCCTTGATCATGGCCACCACACCCTGGGTCTCTCTCACAGCAGCACTAGGGGAGGTGTGGCCAGCCTACCTACTTTGTCTTCTAATGTAACAGCCAACCTCACAGGCCTGAAGAACTGTCCCCTCTGCATCCCATTTCTAGAGCTGAATACCCCATGCTCCCTGGTGCTGTCTGAGTTCACACAGAGGCCTCGTGGGCCCACACTTGCCTGCCATGGCAGAGCCATGCCCTTGCCCTCTCCCTCTGGGAGAACCCAGAGCTCACCACCATCCCTGGCCATCCCCACATCCAGAGGGCCCCATGGAGGGCATTGTAGCCTGGGGAGCCCTTTTCTAGCAGGGGAGTAACTGGGGGCCCTTGGCACCAGCTCACCTGCCCACTCATCCTGGACCAGGAATGAGCTCAGCGACCACTTGGATGCCATGGACTCCAACCTGGACAACCTACAGACCATGCTGACAAGCCACGGCTTCAGCGTGGACACCAGTGCCCTGTTGGACGTGAGTCTCCCCTGCCCTGGTCTGCCCCCCCCTTACACACACACACACACACACACACACACACACACACGTATAGTGCTGACCTCCCACCCACCCTCCACAGCTGTTCAGCCCTTCAGTGACCATGCCTGACATGAGCCTGCCTGACCTGGACAACAGCCTGGCCAGTGTGCGTAGGCGGGTGGGAGCTAACCTGGGGTGCCTCACTGTATCCCCCATGTGGGTTGGAGCTGACCTGGGATGCTTCACTGTGTCCCCCCCATGTGTGTCGGGCCTGACCTGGGGGCACCCCTAACTGTACCTGCCTCCTGCAGATCCAGGAGCTCCTGTCCCCTCAGGAGCCCCCTAGGCCTGTGGAGGCCGAGAACAGCAGCTCCGACTCAGGTAAGCTATCCCCTACACTTTCACTGTCACTCCCACTGCCACCATCCCCCACCTGCTGCCCAGCCCACACCTGACCCCCGTCCTGCAGGGAAGCAGCTGGTGCACTACACAGCACAGCCCTTGTTCCTGCTGGACCCCGGCTCCGTGGACACTGGGAGTAGCGACTTGCCAGTGCTTTTTGAACTGGGCGAGGGCTCCTACTTCTCCGAGGGAGACGACTACACAGACGACCCCACCATCTCTCTGCTGCTGGGCTCGGAGCCTCCCAAAGCAAAGGACCCTACTGTGTCCTAGAGGTCCCAAGAGGGGGACAAGGCAGGCACGCTCCCTGGGCTACCACATCAGACACCACAGCCCCCGGGCAGGCAGAGGGGCTTGGGCTGAAGGTGCCTATGGTTGAGAGCAGGGATCCTAGGCCTGCCCATCCATCTGCTGCCTTCCCAGCCACACCTGGACTGGCCCTGCAGGTTGTTCATAGTCAGAATTACTGTATTTTGGATTTTTACATGAGCGCCCACTTCCCTTTCCATAGAAATATACAGATATATACACAGGTGGACTGACGGACAGACAGACGGACAGACAAGACAGAGAAGAGACCTATAAATGGACAGGCTTTACCCTCTGGCCTCTTGTGTGCTTCCTCCTGTCACAGGGGAGGAGGGGGGTATGCAGTGGGTAGGACTGAGTTTCACAGGAGGGCTGGGTTGGGGTGGCCTCAAAGGGGGCAGATGGCCACAGCACCTGCCTGCTAGAGTGTGCTCTCAGCTCTTTGAGGAGTAGGGAGGGGCAGCCCAGGACAGGGGACATAGGTGCCTCTTCCGTCAGAGCTGGCACTCTGCCCAAGGCCCTCAGCATCAGGACAGAAGCCACCACCTGTTGCTTCAGGGGCTCCCACAGAACTCTGCCTCTTTAGCCAGCTCAGCTCCCACTTGCATTCAGCCAGCCTCTCAAGCTCCACTGACTGGCCAAGGGGGTATCAGGGAGGTGCTGCCTCCACTGCCCTAGAGGGAAGACGGCACCTTGGCTGTGGTCTAGCAAGTGCTAATGGGCAGAGCAGTGTAGCCCTACCAGGGGCTCCTCAGATACCTCCCTTGTTGGAGCACAGTTGAGATCTGGGGGCATACCTAGCCTGGTATGGCCCTAGGGGTTGTCAGCACACAGCTGACCCATAAAGTGGGACCTGGAAATGCCCCCACCTCTGCTACTAAGGTGGTTTCCTCTTTCTGGATGGGTAGGTGGCAGAGCATGGGAATGAAGCATCCTTTTGAAGGCCACAGGTGAGGCTGGATCCCCCTAATTTCCAGGCCCTCTGTGCCAGGTGAAGGGGTGGCTTAGGCTTCAGAAGGTAGGCAGTCCATAGGCTGAGGTCCTGAAAACAGTGAGCACCAGATAGATTGGGCCCTGCCTGAAGCCTACCTACAGGACAACAGCCTATGGACACAACCATCATGACCTCTGCAGCTCCTAGCCCACCAGACCCAAGTCCCCTGGGACCCAAGAGATTGCCCAGGCAAGGCCCATTTCAGCAAGCCCTGGGTGCTCTTCCCTAGCTAAGGCTGGGCACTGTGGGCCCAGCTGAGCCTGGTTTTGCCTGGCAGGTACTTGTCCTACTAGGGGCTGCAGAGCACTGAGCTCCCCACCTACAGGATTAGGGAGCGCACATGACCACCCAAGTGTGACCTATACTGACTGAACTTTTCTGAGTAGTGGACTGGGGTAGGGGTGGCACCACGGACCTGCCTGCCTGGCCATGCACTGCCCCACTGCCTGCACACAGCAGGGCTTAAGCACCTTAGCCCATAGGGACACATGAGGTGGCTACCAGCTGGGCTGAGGAGGTATAGAGTGGCCAATGGGACTCAACCCTCACCTCCTAAGAGCACCAGAGCTAGGCAACCTGGAGAATACAAGGGTCTTGGAGAGCTTCCTATAGCAGCTGCCTCTACAGCCCTGGCACTGAACCCCTACACACATTTGAGTGTGGCCATTCCTCCCACCAGCCCATGAAACCTTAGCAGTTTGAGAAGTCATAGGACAGCACTTTATTGACACCTTTATCCCCTGGGCAGTCAGCAGACTCCTGGCCAGCATCTGACTGGTCTGCTACCACCTCCCTAAGGGGCATAGGAGGAACCCCACAGGGGCAGAGAGGCCTCCCAGGGCAGGAGGATGCTACTGTGCAGCCAGCCTCCAGCCCCAGCATAGGAGGCCCTGAAGAGCAGGATGGCTTTGGCCATGGGCAGTGAAGAGTGGCTCAGGCTGCCACTGTTGGGGCTTCATAGTTGAGCACGTAGTAGTCGTGGACATACATGAGCACAGCCACTGGCTGCCCAATGATAAGCGTGAGCCACACGGCTGCATTGCCATAGTTGCCCTGGAAGAAGCGGCCCACGATCCATGCCAGTGGGATCTGGGGACATGTGGGACCATGGTCAGCTGGCACTGGCGACCACTGGGCTCCAGGGCTCAGGCAGGGAGAAGGCAGGTGAGGCAGCCACGTGTGGGTTGCTCACCTGAGACATCATGGCTGTGAAAGCCCAGAGGCGGAACATTCGCAGGGGGACGCTCACCAGGTACTGGGGCAGGAGGGAGAAGGGTGTCAGCTGTCTCCCACATGGGCCACACCCCTACCTAGAGATAAGGCAGGAAGCCCCAAAGAGCACTGACCTCATGGAAGAAAGCTGAGGCCAGGAACACCAATGTCCTGGCCATCCACTTGCTGCTGCCCCGCCGGAGCATGGGCTTATAGAAGTGTCTGCAGAGGAAGGGGGCTATAGGAAGAAGCTCAGGCCCACAACTGTCCCTCCCTCCCACACACACACACACCACTCACCTGAGGCACCACTTGTGCACGGGTATGTTCCAGTTCTGCCAGAAGTAGGTGACAGACTCAGAGTTCCTGGGGATACAGCAACAACAGGGTGGTCAGAGCATACCAATGGCCCACCCCAGCTCCCAGGGTGCACATCCAACGAGGCCACCCACCACCAGTCTCTGTAGAACTCCCGATCTCCAAACTGCATGAGTTCTGCCACAGCATTCAGGCAGGAGTGGAAGAGCCAGTAGAAGAAGATGAGCCAGATGAGGTGATTGGGGACCTGTAGGGGAGGGGCTTCAGATTCCACAACACAGATGTCTTCCCTTCATGCCCCACCCCACCCGCCCACCACACTCACCGCCAGCTTCAGCAGCCGCTCCATGATTCGAGAGTAGTCCATATCCTGCAGAGACAGGCTCCTTCAAGCCAGCCATGGCTCCCGCCCGCCCACCCCAGCCACAGTGGGGCCTGGGCCACTCACCTTGAAGGGTTTCATAGAGTTCTGGATGGTAGGAACCATCCACTGCAAAGGAGGACATAATGTCAGCCCCCACCTGCACTGAGTCACCCCACCTCACCCCACACCACCCACCCTGCCCTTACCTGCTGAATGAGCCCCACCTGGAGCTGGGTGAAGAACAGCTAGGGGAGGAACCAGAACAGACAGCTGAGCCCCCGGTAGTCCCAGAGCCCCACTACCACTCCAAATAGCCCCTAGCTTCCACCCTTACCATTTCAAGGAGCCTTCGCAGCAGAAAACGCTTCCGAATGCGGGGAGAGCGGGGAAAGTTGAGCTCATAACACAAAGTTGGGGCAAAGAGGAAGTAGTAGAGATCTGGAATGGGAGGCAGGGGCTGGCACCAGAATAGGCCTGACCCTACCCCCTCGGCCCCACCTACTGTAGAGTCCTCACCACGGTAGGTCAGGTTGTCGGGGTAGCTCACACTTCCCTGGGCAGCAGCCCCACCAGCCCTCTTTCCCTTGGAAGCTAGGAGTAGAACAGAGAGGAGGGAAGGGTGTGGCTAGACTGCTGCCCAGACTGGCCCCATGGGCAGCCCTAGCCCCCTGCAGCCCCTCACCAGCCTTTGCCTTGGCTCTGCGGCACCACAGGTTGACATCACGGTAGGAGTAGAGTTTGAGGAAGAGGATGGTGTGCACTGTCAGCGCCAGCACAGAGCCCACTGTAGGAGAGGCAGGCTCAGGCCTCCACAGGTCCACGGCCAGATGCCGCACCTGTGGTTGGCCTGGCTGGGATGGGTGATGGGTTGGGGGCGTACCTGGAGTGATGGATTCGACCAGCAAAGCCACAGCCGCCGGGAAGCAGAGAACAGTGGCCAGGTTGGCCCCATGTAGCAGCAGCCCCACCTGCTCTGTCAGGGCACCCTGCAGGTGAGCAGAGCACTCAACTAGAGCCCCCACTCCCTAGGGGAGGGCCACCTAGGAAGCAGCTCCTCCCAGGAAGACAGCAGGAGAGCTGACTGGGGAATGTCCCCAGGGACTGTGGCAGGGCACTGCTTACCACAGCCAGGCACTTCTCAACCTGGAACGCAGCCACAGCAAAGACGTTGGCCACTGAGGACAGAAGCACCAGAGGACAGGTTCAAGGCCAAGTAGACCTGATCCCCACCCAAGGCCCTCCTCAGAGCCCAGCTCACCAATGACCAGGCACAGGGCAGGCCAGCTGTAGGGGTCCTTCAGGAACAGAGACACCACCTGGATGGGGTCTACCAGAATGCCATACCTAGGGGTGGGGGGCAGAAGTGCCTGAATCGGGGCCTGGGGACAGGACCTAAGGAGGCAGTGATCAGGGTGAGGCTGGGACATGGAGAAGACACTCACTTGATGAGGTTCTCCAAAAATAACCGTGCATTGCTCAAGATCTACAAGAGAGAGGAGAGAGAGGAGAGCATAGCCCTTTGAGTCCTGGCCATAGGGCATCCCTCCTGCACCTCTGGGGACAGGGGCCCCAGCTCACCCAGCCCTATCTGATCTTCATGCCAAGTTCCAGACTCACTACCCACCTTGCCCCACACCAGTGCAGGGACAAAGGTAGGCCCTCCTGCCCCATTGCACCCCTAGAAGGGCCGGCATGAAGGGAGCCAATCCCACTACCTGCTACAAAGAGGGGCCACAGTGCAGGGCTCACCTTCCTGCTGAGCCAGCTGGCGAGGAGCCCAGGCTCATCCCACAGCCAGCCACCACTGTGCTGATAGTCCCAGAGCCCAAGCAGGCCCAATGAGGGCTGTCTACAGCCAAGTCCCAGGGAACCAGTCCCTACAGGTGGCCCAGGTTGAAGGGCTGGTGCCCATCCTTGCCCAGGGCAGTCCCTGCAGTCTTCAGCTTGTGGCAAAAGGTTGCAGCATGGAGCACAGGCACAGGTGTACAGGAGGGCTGGTCAGGCCTGGAGCCCTCCCAAGGCACATGCCCTGCCCCACCTCGGCTGCCTCCTGCAGCCCCCCAGCCCCAGGCTTTCTCTACAACCACTCCATGGACTGAGCCCCCACCCAGACCAGGCTGAGCATTGAGCCCAGCCCAGCTGTAGCCTAGGGCTGGACACTGAGCCTCCCTCTGCAAAGACAAAGAGTTTCTCACCCATTTCATAAGCACCACCAGCACCTCCAAGAGCATGGTGGTGACAAGTATAAAAAAGCAATGTCAGCAAGGAAACACTGGTCCCTTGCCTTGGTGGCCAGGGAAGGCTTCATGGAGGAGGAAACTACTTCAAAGACACAGGTACCACGGCCTCCTCCAGCTGCAGGGATAATCAGGGAACTCCTGCCCAGATACACATGGCCCCACACTGCCTCCCGCATCATACGGCTTCTACTGAGAGCCCAAAGTAGGAAGGAGCCAGAGCTGCTGACAAATGGTGCCCCCACCAGGCCCAGGCCACAGAGGGAACGCAGCAGAGAGCCCAGACCCCCGGACACACATATCCTGTGGCTGGAGGTGACAGTGGAGGGGCCAGAAGAGAAGAAAGGCTTTGCAGCTCTGCAACAGGCAGGCCCAGGGGGCTGCAGTAGAACCAACAGTGCTGCCTGGCTTGCCTAAGACCCAGCCTGGGCCAGGAACAGGACAGTCTCCCAAGGTCTGGGCTAGCAGCAGGCCCACTGTCCTCTTGCCCAGCCAGCTTCTCACCCACCAGGCCTCATGGCTCCCACAGCTGGCCAAAGCTGGAGGTCCTCTCTAGGTCAAGGATGCTGGGACCCCCAGCCACCCATTAGGAACCTTCCAGAACCACAGGCAGAATGTGTGGGTGTGTGTGGAACCCCTACCATGCAGGTTGCCAGACACCATGCTAAGCAGAGGCGGACACATCTGGGTAAGGGTTGAAGGCCTCAGGCCACATCAGCCCTAAATGGCAAAGTCTGCCCCAGACAGGCCCTTGTCCCTAACACACCCTACAGGCTGCGCCTTTGAGCCCCAGATTCCAACTGCTCCTGGAGTAGAGCTGCCCTCACCCCCACAAAGTGCCAGGGGGAATCAGGCCCAGAGGCAGCGGGCCTTGGACATGGCACAAGGCTCCATCCAATTGCCTTCCTGGGGGGGCTCCTAGGACCCAGGGGTAAGGGAGCAGGGCCAGTAGCCAGGCCTGCCAGGGCTCTACATCCACAAGAGCCACATGGCATAAGCACAAGGCAATTTCTCACACCCTCAGCAAGGGAGGCCTCGTGTTCACAGAGCACCCAATCCATAGCCCGTAGCCCCACAACCAGGGCGAGCCTTCCTCTCCTCCCCTGCCTACCACAACTCACAGCACATGGGCCTCAGGGACCTCCACACCACCCACACCACCATCTGCAAGGTTCTCCTGGGATCCAACAGGAACTATCCAGTGTGTGGCTACCGTAGCAAGCACCACCATATTTCCTCCCAGCAGCCCAGTGCTGGACCATGCTGAGATACAGCCTTCTTGAGGCAGTTGCAGTATGCTCCACACCCCCCAGTACACACAGGCTCCTGCCCCAGCACCCTGGGGGACACAGCCTATTGCCAGGTGAAGGTCAACCTGGGGCTGAGCCCCACCTGGCAGCAGGCAGACCTGCTCCAGCTACCACCCTACTCACCAGCATCACCACACACCAATTCAGAATGCCACGGTAATTGCTGAAGCCACTGTCGGAGCTGAACAAAGAATCCTGCACCCGATGGCACCTGGCAGCACAGGACGCAAGCATTAGGAGAGACCTGGAAAAGCTTTCATGATGTTGTCCGGTATCAGCTTTGAAAAGCAGCACCCTTTCTCCATTCTTGTTTTCATCTTGAAGGAAGGCACAGATAAAGCCAGCATGGTCTGGTGAGCAGACACGCCAGCCCCTGTGTCCAAGCCCCCACCCCAACCTTCTCTTCTGCCCACACACCCCACTCCCCATTTACAAACAAGAGAAGCAGCCAGGCAAAGCCACACCAGAGACCAGATGGCCTAAAGCAGGCAAAGCTCTCAGGAACCCCCTGGAGCCTGGCCCTCCAGGCAGCAGGAAAGGGCACATCACAGGCAGGAGCCCACCTGGCATGGCCAGCCAGGTCTGCATGGACTTGCACACCCCAGGCCAGGAGCCCAGCCTTGCTCCCACAGCACCCTGGCTGTGAACTAGCACTGGGGCCACAGAAGTCCACCCCAGGATCTACTGGGCCCACCTGGCACCACCAAGCATAGATAAGACAAAGAGGTAAGCCCATGTGACTTGGCTGGGCCATCCACCACCCAGTGAGCTAGGGGTTCCCCAACATAGCTCACATAGCCTCTTCCCCATGCTTGACCACACAGGCCTGAGTGGACAAAGGAACCCAGGCCAGGGGGCAGCCAAGCACCCAGCCTGACAGACAACTTCCCAGGTGCAGAGCTGGGCCCTCAGGGGCCTGCATATCCTCCCATTTGCTTATGAAAAACGACCACCTGTCCAAGTTCAACACAGGTAAGTGCTGCCTGGGCTGAGGGGGCCAAGAGGAACACACTGGGGCCTCCAATAGATACAGGCATCCATCTGTGACCTACCCACCCAGTGTGGGGGTAGGAGGGCAAGCAGACTATGCCTGGCTTCAGGGAAAGGCAGAGGTGGAAGAGGGGACCTGGCCCAGTGGAGGGACTGCTATGTGGCTGGGACAAGGAAAGTGGGAACAATACTAGATCCCTCATGGCCCAAGAACCAGCAATGGCTCACTCACACCAACCACAGCCCTACCTCACTCTCAGCTGCTATGCCACCAGAAAACCACACAGAGCATTGAGCAAGACTTTGGTTTTGTAAGAGGAAAGGCCAGAGCCTCTCTTCCCTCCCATGCACACACATCTCTGCCTCAGAGCCCTTGGGCAGGGAGAGTGGGCCTGGGAGCAATGGCAGGAGCCCTGTGACATAGATGCCCTCTCAGGGCTGGCCCCGCCCAGGAAGCAATAGGCCAAGGAGGCCAAGGGGCAATGCCAACAAGCCTGACCTTTGTCCCACACACCAAGATCTGCACAGCACTTGTCCTATCTACACCTACACAGCCCCTAGACCTGTCTGCACCAGACCCCAGTACTGCCAGGCTGGTAAGAGGATGGTCACACCCCTTCCTCTACCCATCTAGGCTGGAATATCAGAGTGGGGCATCTCTGCCCCAACCCCAACCCCTGCAGTTGTTCACCTGCTTCTCACAGCCGCACGCCTGAGTTTTTTGCACCTTCTAGGTCCAATTTGGACCATGAGGTGAGGCTGTGATCTCCACCCGAGCCCTCTCCTTCTAAAGTCCACACCTGCCTTTCTGCCCGACCACTACCTTTGACACACCTCCCCAGGCTGCTCCCCTACTGTCTGCCTTTGCCAGGAGGCCAGGTGTTGCATGGTCCCCAGAGGCCCAGTATCATGAGGCAAACAGGGGTACGAGACACAGCTGCCCAAAGAGGATAGCCTTTCTGGACCTGTCTGCCAGACTGGGCCTCCCCACTGCCCCTTCTCCCAAGTTCAAACCCATTTGCATTCACCAGAACCATCTCAAAGCCTCCTGGTTGGCCTTCCTGTCACACAATGTGCCAACTGCTGTCTTCACATCACTACACTCTTCTGCAACAATATGATCCCTGCCCACTTCAAGCCACCAAAGAGACCATACTGGTTTTATCAGTGCCCACCTTCAAGATGAAAACATGAATGGAGAAAGGGTGCTGCTTTCCAAAGCTGATAACAGACATCATGAAAACTTTTCCAGGTCCCTCCTAATGGGTTCCCAAGGCCTTTCTCAGCCCACCCACATCCATTCTCATGTCCCTCCAAAGGCCTCCTGACCACCCCAACCAGCACCCCTGCTGCACAGCTTCAGCCCACACTATCCTTTCCCCAACAGATCAGGGGAGGAGGTTCCCTTCCACCAATGCCCACAGAGCTCTAGGCTAGCCAGTGGGCCAGCAGCAAGTGGGCTAGAGGGCAGGCCAACAGGGATCCACATGAGGAGGTAGCCATGCCCAAAGTGCCTGTGTCACCCTCTCACCTACTATAGGGCCTACCCATGCCTCTGTGCCTTCCAGCTGTCCTAGATCCATTCCTAGGCTGAGAGGACATGGAGTAGCCCACACTCCCTCCTCCCCACAGTCCCCAGGCCCATCCAGCCAGCAGGATCCTCTCACTCACTCTCATATCAACACTAAGAGGTAGGCATTTGCCCATCCCCATGCTCCTGTGCCAAGGTGCAAAGTACCCTACACCTGGGGACCACACAGTCAAGCTCCAGGGTCAACCAGAGTAAGGAGGGTGACAGAATACCAGCTACCTCCAAGCTGCCACACTTCCCCTCTGTGGACCTCTAGGCTGAACCCTGGTGTGTGAGACAGTTGAGGCATCTCCCTGCTGGAAAGAGACAGAGAGGACACCCAGGGGCAAACACACTGGGAGAAGCTGGAAACCAAGGGAGGTGCCTGCAAACTGAGAGCCAGCAAAAGTATGGAAAGAGCCTGGAAGGGAGGTGCTAAGGGGAGCAGGAAGAGGGGCCTTCTCCTCCTGCCTCACAGCTTCACTTTGCCATGGGCCAGAAGAAATGAGCTCACACCCACAGCCCAACCTAAGGTGAGCAGGAAGTGTCAGGGAGGGTAAAAGGCCTGGAGCTCAAGGAGTGATGAGGAAGGGGGAGAGGAAAAGCTGGGCTGGGCCAAGAGCAGCAACAAGCAGAGAGGAAGTCAGGCAGATGGGAAGGTGACAAGGGAGTGAGCTAGAGGCTGGGGACACAGGAACAGCCCAATCAACTGGCTCACCTTCCAGGAGCACTCCACTTTGGCCATCTCAGACCTGGGCAGCAGGGACAGAGACTCACCCAGCCTCTCTCACAGCCTTGCACCCAGTCCCACACCACAGAAACACAGAGGAGCCTGGCTGGTCAGGGACAAGCAAGAAAGTGGCTTGTCTCCCCTGCCTACCCCAGGGTAGCAGCTTCCTTCACCCAGAGCTGGAACCCCCCATCTCACCAAGAAGGACCCTGACCACCCTCCTGAGGCATGCTAGCCATTGCCTGTCTCCTGGAGAGAGGGCAGGAGAGAGGAGAGAGGCCTGGACCAACCTCCCTCAGCACCACCCACAGCCCCCAGCATCCTCTCAGGAAGGCCACCTCCTCCCCCTAGCACCTTTGTTGTGGCCTCCTTGCCTGACCTTTGTTCATACTGCTCCATGCCTGCTTGGCTGGGATTATCTTATCTCTCAGGTGAACTGTGAACACCCCTCAGGCACCTGCACCCCACTGCCCTCCTCTGCCCCCCCACAGTGCCTACTGAAGAAGCCTCTGTTCTTGTTTACTGCAAGAGCAAATCCTCTTTGCAGTAAAGATGAAATGATCAACTGCCCACTTCCTACCTAATAACCTCCTCCTGCGCCTCTGGTGCTCCCTAAGCCAAGGGCCAGTGTGAAAGCCAGAAAAGAGGGATGGAGAGTGGCAAACTGCTCTGAGCCAGCTTGGAAGAAGGGCCAATGTCCAAGCATGCTCCCTCCTTGTCAGCATGCTTCATTCCCCTGTACCTGTTCCTGGCAGTCATTCAACTAAACAGGGCACCCATCTGCATGTGTGTCCACCTCAAATCCAAATCCCTTCTCTCGTTTTCATGGCAGGGATTGAAGTTACCAGTACAAAACCCAACTTTCTGTTCCTACAGCTAGCACTTGTTCTGACAGAAGCAAACCCCCAGGCAGCCTAGTGTCTCCACGTGGATGAATGAGCTGCACAGCCACTCAGGAGGGCCTGCAAGCAGGAAAGCCTCTTACACCACTTCTTCCCCTGAGCAGCTGCCCATTCTCGTCCTCAAATAGACCTGTGCTGCTGTCCTCTGGGAGATGTTCCTACCTCCAAGGCACACCTCAGAAGAAACTTTTCATCACTCACAGCCCGGATCCCATGCTACTTTTTCCAGACAAGAGGACGCTGTCCAGGACCAGCACAGGACCTAGGCTAGCCCTCCGAGGGCTAGCCCAGGCTTCCAGTCAAACCCTCGAAAAGGACCTCAGGACCCACCTGAGGATGCAAAGACTCAAACGCATCTGAAAGCACGGCAGACCCCGGCTCCTCTCTCTATGCCTGGCTGGGAAGGCCACCTCCACTCCACCCGGGTGACCCTGGCAACCTAATCCCCAAGTCTCAGTTTCCCCGCAGAGCCCCAAGGGCACACCGGTCCCCACTTAGTTCCGGCCCCAGGTGTTGGGGGACCCGGACTTCGTGCTTTAGCAGCCACTCCCATAGAACTAGGAAAGCCGTGGGATCCAGGGTCAGAAGGTCAGAATTTAAGGGTCAGGTGCTCCGCTACCTCAGCTCCAATTGGCTGCTGCCCACATAGGCGTCTCCGTCCTTGTCCGGGGCGTCCCCCCCAGCTCCCACGTCTGGGCCAGCCGCCGCGGCCCGCACATCCTCTTCCACCGCCGCGGGCCCGCTGCCACCGTGGGTCGAGGGCCGCGACCCCGTCCTCCGGCGCCGGGAGCCGCCCGCGCCGCCGCGGTCGCCCATGGCCTCAGCCCGCACCTGCCGCAGCCAAGTCCTGGTCCGCCGAACTCGCAGCGCCAGAGGCTCACAGCCCTGCCTCCCGAAACTGGGCAACGGCCACTGCCACCGCCCCCCGCCGGCCGCCGTAGCCCGCGCACCCGCCCGTCAGGCCCTCCAGGCCCGGCCACCTCAAGAACCAAGGCCGCGTCGCACCGAAGCCACTAACTGCCGGTCGACCGCAGTGCGCGTCCATTTGTAGTCCACTAGCCGGCTTGAGGCGGGGCCTACAGCGGGAAGCCGTGCGCGCGGTGCACCCTGGGAGGCATAGTCGCGGCGGGCTGGCCGGCGCAGAGCATCCTGGGAGATGTAGTCGCCGCGCGTGCAGTATCGCAGAGCACGCTGGGAGACGTAGTCACCGCAGGCTGGCAGGAGCTGAGCGCCCCCGGAGCCGCAGTAGTTCGCGTGGGCTGGGTTGCCGGGCAGCGGAACACTCTGACCGTTCCAGAATCTCCGCAAAAAATGTCCAAGCTGGGGCAGCGCCTGTGGCTCAAAGGAGTAAGGCACTGGCCCCATATGCTGGAGGTGGCGGGTTCAAACCCAGCCGCGGCCAAAAACCGCAAAAAAAAACCCAAAACATCCAAGCTTCTGCCTGGCTCCGCGGGGCGGAGCGGAGCGGATATCCTGAGGGCTGCGCCGGCCCTGGCTTCCTGTCAGCTGCGCATCTCCCCTAACCTCTCGCCTGCCCCTGTCATCTTCCTCAACCCAGAATAGTGGTTTAGGGACGTAGATAATTTATGAAACTTCTGGTACGCCACTGTCCAGCTGTTTGGGGCCAGTGTCTGCATCGGCTTGCATCACCTGCCACCCAGCATATTTTCCGCGCATGGCATCTTGCAGGGACAGTCGCTCCTGGCGCAGTTGTGCTGTGCAAATCTGCTTTTCTTCGATCTAGGGGACCTTTAAACAAGGACCAGGTCAGAAGATCAAGCGGGAGAAATGCCCCCAAACTCAGCATTTCTGGGGCCCTGCATGCCGGCCCCCAGGTTCTCCACCTCTCTTGTCTGCGGGGCCGAGGGGTCCAGGGCGAGGATGCAGCCTCGCGGAGGCCCCGTCGCGTCCTGCCCCCACTCCTGGCTTCCAAATCCAGCCAATCTCGCCTAGACGTCAGGAGCCTGGGGCGCCAGATCTCCCAAGATGCAGAGGCGTCTGTGAAGTCGCATGTGCTGCGCAATTGCCCTGTTGTTAAGCGAAGCAGTTGATCAACCGTAACAGCAACACAGTGTGTCCCTGGAGACGCAGGTCTGTCTCCCATCGGCCGTGGAGCGGAGACACCATGTATCTCAGATGCCAGGGTTCACCAGGGACTCAGATCAGGTTTATCCAAGCAGCATGTCAATCCCTCCGGGGTCAGGGGCCAAAAGATGCCTCTCTGGAAGTTGAGGATCAACCTTCACCAACGGTCCCCACAGGGCTGCACCCTGGTGACAGGTTTTTCCTGGCACTGCCATCTTGGATGGATGCCAGTGGGCATCAGACAAGCTGGAGCTACCAGAAAGGTGTCTTCCATAGTCTGCTGGGGGTGGCATTTTGACAGGGCCAGAGAGCCCCTCCCTTCACTCATGGGCCTGGTGAATCAGGACTAGCCCAGCCTCCCAGAAGGAGTGTGTGTTTGTCGCAGTCACTGGCCAAGCGTACCGACCCCAAAAGGAGGCGGGAGGGAAGAATGTCCCTTTGGGAGCCTGGAGCGTAGGGGTGAGCCATAAGGGCTCTGCCACCCCCTCCCCCACTCCTCCCAGGCAGTAAGTGAAACCCTACCCCCCCACGCGCGCCCACATGCCCCAGCATATGCTCTGGCCACGCTGTCCTCCACCAGGGACCCAGAGGGCCGCACAGGGCCGCACACCGATGGCAGAGAGGATTGACAGCTCAGCAGACCGGCCAATAAGGAGTGAAGGGTGTCGTTGGAGGCGGCTGCCTACGACTCCACCCCACTTCACACCATCAGTCGGCAAATGGCCACAGGAGCAAGGTGACCGGAGGGTGGACCCTGGCTCCCCCAAAGCATCTGTCGGGACAAGCAAGCTGCGAGCCAATAGGCAAGCACCGGCTATGAGTGCACCAATAAGGGAGAGGCTTGGGACTGACGTCCGGCTGGAGTCGGGCCTGCGGCAGCCAGGCTAGCAGAGGCGGCGCGCTGTGTGGACTCTGGCACTGACAGCCCCCATACCGGATCCAGAGCCAGGTGCAGACTAGGGCTCCAGGAGAGAGGAGAAAGATCAGGGTAGATGAGATCGGTTGAGTGGGTGCGGAAAGCATGGCACGAATCTCCCGGCACCAAATAGGGAGGCAGAGGCAGGGATGAGGAGCCTTGCAAGCCTGGCGGGATAAAGGGCTGGGAGGGGGTTGGGATGTAAAAGGAGTCTCAAGCTGACCCCAGGAGGCCTGTGAGGGGAACGGCCAGCAGGGAGGGTAAATGGACAGTGGTTGTTAGCAGCTTGTGCCACCCATTCTCTAGGGCTGAACAGTGGCCTCTGCGGATGACAGGAATAGGGGGTCAAGCTATCCCAGGTCTCAGGCAGGCCACCTCCACCACCCAACACTTGTCAGAATCCCATAGAAGCAGAAACAACTAAGCTGTGGAGTCCTTTAGAAAGGAGTGAGCAGGCCTTCTTTCTTTCCACTCTTGTCTGCTGCAATGGTTAAGAGTTTGGGGATAGAACTTATGTCAAAGGCAGCCCTGGGGTCCTTTACCCTTTGACGTGCTGTTTATCTCTCAGGGGCTCAGATTGCTCATCTCCAAGGACTATGATGCCTACCCAGCCCATAGACAGTGAAAGTGGGGAGTGCCTCTACAGGAGCCTCTGGCTCCCATGCCTTCAACCTGTCATCATTGCTGCTGGCAGTACTCTACAGAAGCACTCACCCCCATCAGAACCCTTCTGAGAAGCAAGCCCACAGACTATGAAACTAGCTCCCCTCCTACCCATCCCAATGGAGTCTGAGCAGGTTTGTCCCCTACTATCTCCAGTGTGTGGGGGCAGCTGTGCTGGCCCTGGGACTAGGGCTGACCTAATTTGACTATATGTGTGCCCAAAAACTTTGGGCCTCTCAGCTCTTTCCCTATCTATCTGGTTCCCAGGGGCCCTCTGCTCTCTCAGCACAGCCCTGCCCCCTCACCTCAATGCTATTCTTCCTGTATGGAGCCCTTCCTCCAGCTGTGGGTGGGTGCAGAAGCATCTATGCCTTCTGGGCACCTCCTCCTTGGAACTCGTCCAACTCAGCTATCCATAGAGGCCTCCTCAGACAGTGGGGACCCATAACCTGGAAGCCTGGAGGTCTAAAGATGGGCAACAGGCCACAGGGAGGAGCCAGACCTCTAGACCTGCTGTCCCCCCATTTCCTCTAACATCACCTCAGAGGACTGACTCACTTGTGGCTGTCAGGCCTGCTGAGGCAGCAAGAGCCTGTACACAGAGGGTAGGTGAGTGGCAACTGCGCTCCCTGCTATACCTACTCTGGCCATTCTAGATCAGCCTTGGGTTGGGCCTGAGTTTGGGCTGGAGACTCATAGTGCCCAATTTTTTTTTTTATTTTTTTGGCCAGGGCTGGGTTTGAACCTGCCACCTCTGGCATATGGGGCCGGCTCCCTACTCCTTTGAGCCACAGGCGCCGCCCTCTTAGTGCCCAATTCTTGGCACAAAGCAGACTCACCTGCTCCAGAGGAAATGCCAACTGCTTTGCTCCCCAGTGGAAGAAGGGCGCCTTCTTTTGAAAAGCTGCCACAGTGACCCATGCAAGCCTCCAGCCTCTGTAGTGTGTCAAGACTGGGAAGATTCCACCCCCCCAGGACCCCCAGCAGCGCAGCCCAGACCAGGACACATCAGCCTGACAATCCAAATTCTATCAAGAGTGGCATTTATTCTCCTCGTGGAGGTGCGGCGCTCCGGGGAGCTGGTGCTATTGTGCTTAGGAAGGAGGTCTGTCCGTCCGTCCGTCTGTCCGGCCGGCCCGGCCCCAAACGGGGGCGGAACAGGGGCGCGGCCCGAGTAAAAATCCCGGCCAGTTCCGGGTGGAAATATATACAAGGCGGCGGGGCGCAGGCGGGGGTGAGGGCGGGGCGAGCCGGCGGCCGCAGCCCCCACCCGAGGGCCCCCACACCTCGGACCCTACTTGTAGAATCAGTACAAAATAGGTGCTACCTAAACGTTCCTTCTACCTGAATTCGCTAAGTCGGTTATTGTGCTGCTTAGTTATGAGGGCAGGAGGGGGCCCATGGCTTTCCACGGCGGCGGGATGTGAGGGGAAGTGGGAGACCCTGGTGAGCCCATGGCCCTCCAGCCTTCTCCTTAGGTAGGCAGACGGGAGTGTGGAGTGGCGGGGGGTGGGGGGGGGCACCTGTGTGTTATGTTTGTGTGTGTGTGCAGCGCAGGTTGGCAGGGCCCAGCCTGGGAGCTGTGTGGGCACCACACCTGGTTGTGTTGGGATTTTGGACGTGGGCATTGGGCCCCTGTGGGGGCAGCCAAGTTGGGTGCTGGGGACAAGGCTGGACACATCACATATTCAAGCTTGCACCTTTTTCTCTGGCCAGGGTCAGGACCCTGGCCAGACACGACAGAGCGGTGTTTGCCACAGGATCACAAGATTGGACTCCTGTATGGGCAGCTCTGGTGGCTGGCACTGGGCCCTGGGGTCCTAGCTCTGTCCCCCTCAGCTGGGCCCAAAAGGCCCAAGTCAAGGTAGAGCCCAAGTGCGCCCCGCAAAGACCAGGCTGAGGTGGAGAGGAGGGAGTCGTCTGAGCACAGGGACTTGGTCTCTATACATCTGTGTCCTTCCCGGGCCACCCAAGCCTGCTGCCCCCTGTCGCGCACACGCACCTCGCCGCAGGTCACCGCATCCCTGGCGGACTCAGCAATGGACCTGGCACATAGTAGGTGCCTAATGAACGGTTGGAGAGTGATGGATGACTGAAGGGAGGGTCGTGGGTCCAGCCACCCCACCCCTGCCCCAGAACCAATACACCCGCCGGGCTCTGCCGTGGGGGGAGGGGAGCGAGGAATAAAGGGGGAGGAAGAATGTCTGCGCGGCCGGCCCCACGCAGCGTCCCTGATCTAGGGCCTATGGGGTGGATAGGGCGAGGGGATACCTGATTCTCAGTAACTCTAGAGGCGGCGGCAGCTTCGCATGCAGTGCGCATTATTGCTCTATAGTCGGCATCGGACTACCTAAGAGGGAGAGGGAGCGGGCAGCCCCGGGTCAGGTAGGGAGGAGGGGTGGGGCTGCATGCAGTGACGTCACAAAGGCGGCGGCCAATGGGGCGGGCCCTTGGGGCGGGGTCGCCGCCGAGGCTTTGGCATAGACCGGCGAAAGTTGGCAACCGAGTGGGGGCGGGGCCTGGATCTCAGGGGAGGGGCCGGCCTCCGAGAGGCGGGGCCTGAGGCTCCCTGGAGGCCCCCAGCGAGGGCCAGGCCTCAGGGCGGGAGAAGTAATCCTGGACGTCCCAAGCCCCTCGCGTCGGCGGGAAGGATGGGGGACTCAGCGTCCCCTCCCTGACCCGAGTGCAATCCGTTCATAAATAAAACGTACAAATACAGAAAGAAACCCGACGCGTCCGCAACCCCCCAGGGGTTTTACCCGCAAAACGAATACAGAGAGGTGTATAGAGGGCAGTGCCCGGGCCCGCCTGGTGGGCCCCGGGAATCGTCCTCCACCACCAAATGCCCAGGGCATGAGGGAGGGAGCCCCGAGGCAGGGCAGGAAAAGGGTCTGAGGAGGTCGGTTAAGTCCATGCGATTCGATATGTGTCGTTATTATTCGTCATGGAGGACAGCGCCCGGGAAGCTGGGCTGGAAGAATTCAGATTTGGCAGAGGATGAGAGGCGAGGGTCGGAGGGCAGCTCGGACTGAGGCCCCAGGAGCAACCCGAGGAAGAGGGGTGTTACTGTCCGCTCCCCTCCCCGATCCCAACGTGTCTAACACTCCTTGGGAGTTCGGCGAAGACTGCGGGGGGGCAGAAAGGCCTCGGAAGGCCCACCCCTCTCCTGCTCCTCCCGCGGCCTGCTGCCGGGAGGGACCGGCTCCCTGGACGTCTGGGCCGCAGGCCCGGCCCTTGAAGGCTTGGCAAGGGGTGGGGAAGACCTGAGTCTCTGCGGCGCGATCCAGGGGCGCAGAGGAGGGAGAAGGAAGACGCTCCCTACCTCACCCCACCCGGGCTTCAGAGACCCAACTCGGAGATGAGGTTCGGTTTGGGTCTCCTCGACCCTATTGCTGGGAGAAAGCCTGGGGCACCCTGGAGGAGAGGGGAAGGGGCTTGGGGTGGGTCTCCCCTCGGGACCCTATTGCTTGAAGAGGCCGGCAAGGCCCCTGGCGGGCAGGGCGGGGTGGGACCGGACGCCCCCTCCCCTATTGCTGTGAGGAGAGGCCCGCCCTCCGGCCTCTCCTCCTGGACGCCAGCGGAAACTTCCCTGGGGGCCCGTATTGCTGAGAGCCGACCTGGCTGGCGGAGGCCCCGCCGCCCTAGGCCTGCACTGGATTGAGCTGTGGGGGCGCAGGGGCCGTGGGGCCGCCGCCGCCAGCGCTGCCCTTGAAGCAGGCCGACTCGTAGTGCTTGTTGAGATAGGACTTGAGCGCGAAGCTCTTCTTGCAGCGCTTGCACTGGAAGTGCTTGAAGGCGGAGTGCGTCTGCATGTGTGCGCGCAGGTTGGAGCGGTCGGCAAAGGCCTTGCCGCAGTGCGCGCAGCCGAAGGGTTTCTCGCCGGTGTGCGAGCGCATGTGGCCCTGAAGCAGCCAGGGTCGGGAGAAGGCTTTGCCGCACACTCCGCACTTGTGTCGCAGGTCGTGCGTGAGCAGGTGCATGGCCATGGCCGGCATGGATACGTACACCTTGCCGCACGTCGGGCAACGCCGTGCCAGCTGGCTGTCCAGGCTGCGGTGCGTCTGCTTGTGGCGGCTCAGGTTCGACGACGTGGCATACGTTTTGCCGCACTCACCGCACGCGTGCCGGCCACCAGTGCCTGCTGCCCCTGGCCCCGCTCGCGCCTCAGTGCCTGCCCCGGCACGCGTGCCGCCCCGGCCCCCGGGCCCCGAACTCGAGCTGCGCGCACCCGCCCCGCCCCCAGAGTCGCCGTCTGGAGCCGCCGCTGAGACCGCGGAGGGAGCGGCGGCAGCATTGGCATTGGCGGCCTTACGGCGAGAACGCCCGTCGGTGATGAAGAAGGTGTCGGCCGCGTAGCCCTCACTGACCGCCGCGTCGCCGTTGATGTAGCCGCCTGCAGCAGTGGCCAGCTCCGGGCGCGGGGTGGGCGGCGGCGCCGAGCCTGCGGCCGCGGGACCCAATTCTCCCCGCACCGCTGCAGCGTACATGGGCTCCGGGGACGGACCTTTGAGCAACGCCGACTCGGCATCGCCTTCGTAGACAGACGCGGGCCCCACGTAGTCACTGAGGTATCCTACGGGCCAAGGTGGACAGACGGACAGCAGGAAAGGAATGGGGCAGCGGGCAAAGACACATGCGGGGGGCGGGGGGGCAGCGGGAGACAGAAGACAGTAGACACAGGTCGGGAGACGCCGCGGTCCGGGAAAGAGGCGAACAGCGAGGACAAAGGAGAAGAGGCCGAGGGACCGCAGGGCAGAGAGGATGGAGACGACAGGGAGGGGAAGAGAGGAGAGAAGAGATGAGACTGGGCTGGGCCAGGCTCCACCTTCGCCGCCCCAGCGCCCCACCCTGAGGGGGGGAGGAGAGAGGCACATCTTCAGGCGCGGCTGCCCCCTCCCCCCAGCCTCAAGGTCAGGGGGGAGGGGCGACGCTTCGCTCTCCCTCCTCCTCCCCCTTGGGTTCTCCCCACTTCAGCAGTTTTCCCTGATTATGCAATACACTGCAGACCCGCCGCGCACAAAGCCAGGGCCGCGGCCCAGGGACCCCAACCGTCCTGCCCTTGCCGGGTCCTCTCTTGGCCTTTGCCCAGGCCCCCAGAACCTGCGCTCCATTCTGATGTCGCTCCTCGTTGGCCCCTGAGGCTCTCTGACCAGCCCTAGAGATTTCTGCCGCCTCCAGTTCTCCAGTTCTCACTAGCACCTCCCTCTCATCTCCTTGCTCCTATGTACTAGACTTGGCCTCTACCCTCTGGCTCAAGCCCCAGTCCCCTCTGTGCATGTACACTTTGGTTCTCCCTCCACTTTCTCTGGTTATTCTCCAATCTCGGGTCCTACCCTGTTCAACATTGCCCTCTTCTGCCCACACCCCCCTTTCGGGGGCCTTCCCAAGCTCCACAACAGGCAAATAGGGAGAGCTGTGATGAGGACAGTACTGGGGTGTCCACCAGGGGACATCTTCACAGGGACAAGCTGCAGGAGAGCAGCATCATTTATACTGGCAAGTGCAGCTGTTCCCAAGGCACAAGATGGATCTCACAACCTCAAAGTCACAAATGCACACCCTTCACAATGCAGGTTCTGTTTCCTTCAGGGTTACACCAACCCTTCCAGCCAGCATCAGCCCTAGCATCCCCTCATAGAATAGGCTGTATGCTGACCTCCCAAACTCACCACCTACTCATGCAGGGTCACACATGCTGCCACCCTGGACACACTTTCAGTCACATGGTGCACAGCCGATTCAGAGTCACATGGTCCCATGTAGTGGCACACAGGCAAGCACACACTCACACAGGGTCACACACAAGCGCACACGGTCACATGGCCACATGCAGTCACATGGATCCATACAGGCTTTCGCTCTTGCAGGTCACACTTGCTCTGCCACCCCATGCTGCTAGCACTCCAGTCCCTATCTCCTGCATGCTAACAGTTGTCCTTGAACTTGGGCACCCTTACACAAAGAACCTCCCTCTGCCTCTAGCACCTTGGGCCTCCCTTACCCATGGCCCACCTCCTCACAGCCTTCTCCTTGACTCTGGCTCCAGGGAAGCTGCTGTCTCTGCTGGTACTTTCCCCCTGACAGGTGGGCGCCCCACTGGACCTCATGCTTACTCCCTGGAGCTTCCAGTATTCCCCAGCTAGCCATAGCAGGGGTTCTAGTGTGACAGAGGAAGAAACCCTGGGTTTCTGGGTGTGGGTCTGCATGTGGCTGCATGGCAGAGTCCTGTCATGTCCGCAGGCATTCGTGTGGCTATGTCTGTCCAGGCATGTATCAGGGTTTGGGTTGATGTGTGCCTTCAGGTGTCTCCAGCTCCTGGCCCTTCCCCAGAGTGTCTCCAGCCTTGGCCAGCTCCAGCCTGCCTCTGCACTGGCTCCCCTTTCTCCACCCCCTGCAGTCTCACTCCAGGCACAGCGTCTGGTCGGTTGTGTCCCCCAGTCTATTTCCCGGATTCTGCCCCTCCACCCCACATTCTGGCTCTCTGCCCCTTCCAGCAAGGCCCTGGGACCCCTCGACCCAGCTTAAGCCCAACCTCACCTTTATCGTGCAGTCGCACACCGAGGTCGCTGCGGGCGCGCCCGTAGGAGCTCTCCAGGTCTGCCGAAGAGAATGTGTCAAGTTTGACCTTCTTGACCAAGAAGGACCTGGGCATGATTCCTGCGGGGCTCCGGCGCTGTAGGCCTATGGAGCCGGGGCTCGGGGGGACTGCGGCCGCGGCGGGGGCCCGTCACCATCCGAGGAGCAGCAGAGGCAGCGCGGATCCCCACTCCGGCCTTCGGATCCTGCCGCACGAGTGCCGTCCTCCCTCGCTGCCCTGCGTCTGCTCCTCTGCCCCTCCGGATCCCTCTTCGTCTTCTTCTTCCTCCCTCCTCTCCTCTCCTCTCTTCTTCCTTCCTTCCTTCTCTCTTCTGGTCCCGGCTTCCCAGCCCGCAGTGCCGCCCCTGGACAGGCGGGGGAGGAGGCTGGGGGGGGAGAGGGGGGAGCGGCTCCGTCCCGGGCCCGGAGGCTGCGAGTGGGTGCAGGGCTGGCCCGGCTCCGCGGCCCCCTTCCCCTCCCCCCCCGCCGCCGCGGCGGAGCCTCAGTCAGCGGCCCCCCATGCCACCGGGGGCGGCGGCGCGTAGCACGGAGAACGCGGCGGCCGCGGGGGTAGCTCCCGCAGCTTCAGCACCGCGGCCAGCGCTGGTCTGGGCAGCACCGTGGCCAGCGCCCGGGCACGCTCAGCGGGCGAGGGCGGAGAGGGGCGGTCCGCGGGGGCTCAACCGCCAGGCGGGGGTCCTCGGCAGGGGTCTCAGGGAGGCTTGCTTTATTGTTCTGCAGCCGGAGCAAGCGGCAGCGGCGGCGGGGGCTGCGGCGGGCGGGGGGCGGGGGTCCTGGGGGGAGGGGTGCACAGGGAGGGCGGGCCGAGGGAGGGAAGGAGGGAGGGATAGGGGCTCCGGGGGCGGGGCTCGGCGCTCGGACAGCTCCTGGGCCTGACTCCTGAGCCCGCAGCCGCCTCTGCCTGCGGCCAAGCTCAGCCTGCGGCTTTTAAAGCTCAGGAGCTGGGGGAGGGGGCTGGAGAGGAGGGAGGAGAGGCCAGCGGAAATGGCTGCGCTGGGCTGAACCCCGGCCAGGGTCTCCTGGGAGGGGTCCTGGGGATGCCTCGGCCTCCAAGTACGGGGAATTCCCCTGCGCTGCTCGGCGAACCGCGGCGCAGCGGTCGGAGGCATTGTCAGACGTGTGGAAGAGGTGGAAACAGGCCTGGGACTCACGCGCCCGGAACTTCGAGTCCTGTGGGGAGGAACGCAGGGCGGACTCCAGCCGAGTCCGGCCCGCCCAGCCTGGGATCTGGAGACGCGGGATCTGCGGGGGTAGATGGGGGAGGTGGAGGACGAAGGAGCGAATGCTGAGGCAGCGAAAGCGCAGTGTGGCAGTGCTGCGTGTGCCCTGTGCCGCAATGTCTCCTGCCATTCGGTCACCCGGGCTGACCCCGTGGCCTCTGGAGGGGCCTCCCAGCCTCATGCCTCTCTCCCAGAAGGTGCATGTAGAACGCCTGACAACGAGCGGTGTGTGAAGGGAGAGAGGGGCTACTATGACCCTGCTCCAGAAATTTGACTTCTGCGCAGCTTCAGCTGACCCCCACTCTCTCTCGCCCCCACTATTCCCGCAACCAGGCGGATAACCCTTCTGGAGGCCGCCCGCCCAGAGTTCGCAGTCCCCATGACGTCATGCTCAGCGACCAATGGCCGGGCGCCGGGGCAAGGGGGCTCCCGGGCTCCGGGCTGCACAATGGCCTCGCGCGGGCACATATGTCCCCAATTAGGGCCCAGAGCCGCCATTGTCCCTCATCCGCCCTGGCGCGGTTCTTCCGGCCTCCGCTCTCCAAGCGCGCCCCCGTGCGGGCTGCTGTCTTTAGAAACCAAGGTCGCCGGGTAGCTCGGGGAATGTCCAGCGCCTCTAAGCCGAGGACGCGCACGAGGCGGAGGCGCGCGTGCTCTTTGCTGCGTAGTGACCTTGTGCGGGGCAGCACCGCGGGCCCGCGGACAGCGGGCGGGAGCGCGCGGCGGGCGGGCCCTGCAGGGGATGGCCTAGCGGCGCGTGAGCACGGGAGCGCGCAGGGAATGCTGAGCTCAGCGCCCCACCCCAGTCAGTCAGCGGATCCCCGGCCTGCTTCGTTCCAGCCCAGCGTTGGGTCAGAGTGGGCGTGACCCAGCCCGCCGAGCGCCGGGTGAGGCGGAGACGCCGGACCCGCTTTTTTGCCAGCAGCCTCGGCAGCGGAAGGACATTCATCTTGCGTGGCAGGAGCTCCCGGGGGGCGGGGGAGGGGCGCGGCCGCCCCCTTATCGCCGAGCAGCAGCCGGTGCAGCTCGCGGTGGGGGCAGGGGTGGGGATCCCTCCTCGGTCGCGCCGCTGGTCCAGGCTCCCTCCCACGGGGCCCGGCCGAGGCACAGCCGGAGGGGCGCGCCAATTAACATTTTGATTGCGAGACTGGGGGCCCATCTGGGCCGAGGCCTAATTACCAGGCGGACCCTCAGGGCGCTGCGGGACGTGCCAGGCAAGATCCCCTCACCCGACGCTCGCCGCCTCCCCACGAACGCTCTGCCCCTGCCCCCAATTGTGTTCCTAGGACACCATCCCTGTACCACCCTACCGGTCCCAGTCATCCTGTCTCTCTGTCCCCATACTAAGTCTCTGGACTCCCAGCTCTGTCCCCTTTCCTCATCCTCCCACTCCTTCACCCCGTCCCCCATCTCTGTCCCTCCCACTTCAACTTTGTCTCTCTTCCTGATCCCGTTCTTCCATCGCCCTCCCTCATCCCTCCCCTCTCCTCTCCTCCCTGTCCACATACCTGCCTCTGTCAATCTCCTTGCCCCCTTGACAGAGGAGGCAACAGAGCGGGACACATGTGTCCAGCGACCAGGCCCTGCCTAGGGGACCACTGGGCTGCTCTCGGCCCCCTTGGTGGAGCCTGCAGCCCCTAGAGAACCTGGTAGGGAAGGGCAGCTGTGTCCAGGCGTTGGACATCACTCCACCCCACGACGGGTGTGAAGCACACATGTGACCTGGGACGCAATTACTTGGGCCTCCTCCCAGCTTCCCTTCTAGCATTCTGCCCCTGCCCCTACCCCTTGCGCCTTCGGGGTCATTGTGGAGCTCTAGCCCCAGGATCCAGCTAGGAAAGTCTGCGGAAGGACTGTTGACCATTCTCAAGCATTTGGAAAGTTTCAACTCTTCACCACCAGAGGCTGCCCTGAGATGCTCTCACTGACACCTCAGACGTTGTGGGTCTTGTTGCAGGGTATCCAGGCATATCCAGGCAAGGCTAAATTGGCCCCTAACCCATGGAAGCTCCAGGCTAATCCTCACATCCCCCAGCCGAACCTCTCTGTGGAGGAGGGAGGAGTCTCTTTCTGCTGCCCTGATTCAAGTTACAGCTCAGCCCAGACCCTATCCCTTTGGGATTAGGGGTATGCAGTGGGTTCTATGACCTGTCTCCCTCTGCTTCTGGCTGCCCCACTCCCTGCCCTGTTCAGGTCCAATGTTTTGGGAAGATCAGACTTAAGGGGAGTTATCCCGCTGTTGTGTTCTTAGCACGCTCACCTTCGGCAAACCTAGAGTCACCTAGTGTGCCCACCCCATGCTCAGATTTTCTCCCCTAATGGGGCTCTAACCCAGGAAATCAGTGGACAGCCTGGCTTAGAGAGAGAGCCTACTCTTCCTGCTGGTCAGAGAAGAGTGGTAGAGAATGGGGTGTAGAACTGAGTTGATGGAGGTGGGCAGTCTCTGGTGGTGATTGGCAGAGAGTATAATTGGGGCTGAGGATATTGTCTACAAGAAGTGGTCACTGGCTGTTGAAGGATTGTCCAAGAGGATGCTGAGTTCAGAAGGCAATTAGTGGGGGATGGTGCACACAACAAGGGCTGGTGCTGGGTGGTGACTGGTGTCCCAGCTAGGACTCTTTGGGTGCAGTGGGGAAGGGCCTGCAGGCCTGGGGGAGAAGCAGGCCTTCAGAAAAGGCTGTGTGGAAGGGAGCAGCATGGAAGGATCCAGGTTCCGTCAGCTGGGAGACATGTTAGGGGAGATTCAGGAGGGGGGGTCTGTATTCCAAAACAGTTTTGTGTGCTAAGAAGATCCCATGGGAACAAGATCATGAGGAGTGGCCAGATAGGCCCAGAGGTAACGTAACATGAAGGCCAAAAAGAAAGGTTGGAACACAACACAAATGAACACATGAAAAAGACAAGCAAAAACAAAGAGCAATGGCTCGGTGCCTGTGGCTTAAGTGGTTAAGGCGCCAGCCACATACACCTAAGGTGGCAGGTTCGTATCCAGCCCGGGACCGCCAAACAATAATGGCAGCAACCAAAAAATAGCCAGGCGGGCATTGTGGTGGGCACCTGTGGTCCCAGCTACTTGGGAGGCTGAGTCAGGAGACTCACTTTGAGCCCAGGAGTTGGAGGTTGCTGTGAGTTGTGATGCCATAGCACTCTACCCAGGGGGATAGCTTGAGGCTCTGTCTCAAAAAAAAAAAAAAACAAAGAGCAACCTGGTGGGGTGGCTTATGCCTGTAACCCCAGCACTGTGGAAGGCTGAGGTGGGAGAACTGCTTGAGCTCAGGAGTTCCAGACTTGAAACTTGTCTGAGGGGGAGTGAGATCCCGATTCATTAAAAAAAGGAAACTTGCTTGAGCCCAGGAGTTGGAGGTTGCTGTGAGCTGTGATGCCACAGCACTCTACCCAGGAGGACAGCTTGAGGCTCTGTCTCAAAAAAAAAATGAAATACCCAGCTGGACACCGAAGTGAGTACCTGTAATCCCAATGGCTTCTGGTTTCCAGACGCTGAGGCAGCAGGATACCCACAGCCTAAGTCTGACATTGCAGTGATCTATGACGCTACTGCACTCTGCTCAGGGCATAGGGTAGGACTCTGTCTCAACAACCACACCCCCAAAAAGCAAATAAAAAGAAAGAAAAAGGCTTGGTGCCTGTAGCTCACTGACTAGGATGCCAGCCACATACAGTGGGGCTGGTGGATTTGAACCCAGCACAAGCCTACCAAACAATGGCAACTACAGGGAGGCACCTTTGGTTCAGTGGGTAGGGCAGCGACCCCACATACCAAAGGTGGCGGGCGGGTTCTAACCCACCCAGGCCATCTGCAACAAAATAGCCAGGCGTTGTGGCAGGTACCTGTAGTCCCAGATACTCAGGAGGCTGAGGCAAGAGAATCACCTAAGTCCAAGAGCTGGAGGTTGCTGTGAGATGTGACACCACGGCCAAGGGTGTTAAAG